TGCATTTCATTGCAAATTATTTCTTCTTTCCGGGTAAAGTATAAGATCWGAGTAAACCATAATCCGAAACCTTACCTCTGAAAAGGTTTGAAGTCTTGATCTAAAGTAACTAAGCTGAAGTAATATTCAGGTGTGTCAGTATCTTCCCAACTCTTCGGTTCGTCTGACTATGACACGTTTGACTTGCTAGATATGCTGTGACAGACACTCCTTCTTATTAAAAGCAAACTAAATCAACCAATAGAAACAGCTGTCATTCAGCTTAAAGTCAGTTGTTAGTTTGTCGTAAAAATAAAAACTGTGACCTTTTGCCTTGTTTTAATAGCATGTTAAATTCATACCAAATTTGGAGATGTTTTGTTCAGTAAACAACAGTCTGTATCACATTCGGATTTCTTTCGGTCGTCTAGGGTTAAGTGAAAGGAAGTCTGGATCAGGTGACGCAGCACTGATCGTAGACAGTAATGCATGTTATGACTTGAATTATACCAAATCTCTAACAAAAAAAATTATTGGTAAATCTTTTAAAACCGCAATGTGAATGCACTTTATAAATGACATTTCTCAAATGTATGATAAATTTATTGTGAGATTGTGGGATTTTGAAATATGATCTGAAACTTGTATTCAATTACTACAGTAGTATCCATGAGAAAAACAATTTCAAAAACTCATTGGTATTTTAAAAAACTACAGAACTACCGCCTGGTTCCAGAGGTTTTCTCTTCTTTTTAAAGATGTTTTTTCTGGTATTTTTGTCTTTGCAATTTTGTCTCTTTTTTTGTCGACGCTAAATTTAAAAAGCAAAGACAAAAATACGATAAATATTTAAAAAAAATCTATAAAAGAAGAGAAAACCTGGTACCAGGGTACTATAGAACAATCGATCAGCGAAACTGCAATCAGTGCAGCACATCCGGTCTATATGCATCTAGACAGCAGTGACCTTGGACACCATGACGACTGATTATCGATACATGTACATTATTTCTATATAGGTACAATTATTAGATCCATCTAAATTCTCTTGAAACCACTTCAATCCGGCTTATTAACGATACTGAATCTCTAAATTGTAAACGTTTAGTGTTGTACTTGTTTGACACGTCGCGTATTGTGCATGCGGTTCGATTACTTCCGGGCCTTCCGGATCATTTCACTTCTAGTATATTTTGTACAAAATTTTTTTGTGGCCTGAAGAGTCTAAAACCATTTCGAGCAGCGGAAAACGAGTAAAAAAATAGCCTGCACTATAATGGATCACTTATACTGCTGAGAAAATTTGAGTGTAATCAAATCGAAATTTGCGACGTAGTTGGAGTTTAAAAATACGCGCGAAACGCTATTTATTGCGATCGAAACACCTTAACGGTCGTTTATTAGGTACTGGTACGTACTGTCCGCTTATGCAGCCAAGCGATTTAATCTATGCCACTAATATCGTTAATACCCTAAAATTGTGCGTGCGGTTCGATTACTTCCGGGCATTCCGGATCATTTCACTTCTAGTATATTTAGGGACTGTGCAATAATTACCAGGAGAGGGGGGGCATTACATAAAATTGATTGCAAGATAGGGGGGGTCAAAGTAAAATTACCTAATAAACAGAGGGGGGGCCTTAAGTTGCACTCAAAATTTTCATAATAGTTCGATGTCTCTCAAAATGCTGGAAATCGCATTTAATAATAATAATAATAATAAAAACTTATATAGCGCATATACAAGTCTGTTCTATGCGCTCTGATATAACTAACTTACAAATTAAATTCTAAAAGCTAAACTAAACAAATATCCAAGCGTTATTTCCTTCAAATTTTGAAAATTTTGAAAATCTCTGTTTTTAAAATTATGTCCCCCAAAAATCAAAAAAGCAACAACAAAATCAATTTCAAATACGTTTTTGCTAGTACCGCGACACATTTTGGATCTGAGGGTCTAACGACCACCGAAGGCGGGAGTATCAAGGGAGTCTGGACCTCCCCCTGGAAATTATGAAGTAAAAACTCTTGGAAATGCGATTTCCAGCGTTTTGAGAAACCTCGAGGGCATATATATAAAAGGGATCAATTTTATGTGAGTTTTTCAGTAATTTTTTGGAAAATTTTAATATTTCCTTGCCACTATAGTACGCACGTGCGTATATGCGTAAAGCACGGTACGCGCCTGCAAATTCTCCATTAAAAACTGAAGAGAGCAACAAAAAAGATGAAATGTTTCTGTCATAATTCAACCAAACTTTGCATGGTTAATGTTTTAGTCCAATAAAAGAAAAAAGACATTAAATCCATGTGCAATTTTATTGAAGCGAAGAAATACCAAACTAGAAAAAAATATTATTCTACAAATATGTACAATGTACTAAAATTACAATAAGATTTTTCTTGAAATTTGTCGGACTTGGACCTTAAAGGAGTTTCTAAACTTCATATTGTAGGACGTCAAAATAATTTCAACTTTTACCCCTCCTTTGACACACAGAAAACACAATGTTTGAGGAAAACTAGTTTCTTCTATTCGACCTTATCAATTCCTCTCTACAATATAAATAAGATTTTTATTCTTAATAAGAAAGTTTTTCATGTCCTCTCTGCATATTTGTACAAGTTCAGTTTACTGAAACTAAAAAACTAATCCTATCACCTACAAAATATCATACAAATTTTATAAAATGTACTTGATTAAGCTTATATTTCATTATAAAAGAACATGTAGGTAATTGTAGAAAACTAAGAAATGATGAATAAATAGACGTTTGATTTTTGTTGTGCTGGGGTTACTTGTATTACTAAAATTCTACAAGAGTCAAACTTTAAATTATCTACGATATTAATAACAATAGACCAGGATATTTATCACTACAGAATTGTCTAGTTTTTTCTTCACATTCAGCAGATATGTTATTATGATACAGGTCTAGCTTGGTGAGATTACTGGGTAAATGTTTCATGATGTGATCCACTCCACCATCAGTTATTTTATTCCAAGACAGGTTTAACTCGGTGAGATTACTGGGAAAGTCTTTCATGATGTGATGTACTCCATCATCAGTTATTTCATTAACCTGCAGGCTTAGCGTGGTTATTTTTGTTTTTGATAATTTTTCAAACAAGCACTTTACGTGTTCATCATTCAAATCACAAGACTCCAGCAAAAGTACAGTGATTGTGCAGTTTGGAACTATGAGAGATGACATCAATCTCTTTATCCCGGTAATGGTAATCCCTGAGTTAACAATGTGCAATTTGTGTGGTGGTGATGATATTGATGTAGCAGTGGATTCTACTAACATAGCGATTGCTGCACAGTCCATGTCGGTTACATCTTCTAATACAATCTCCCCATAACTATACCAGTATCTGTCATCACGATTTGTAGTCAGTTCTTGTTTTGTCAAGCTTTTGTCAAGACCAAACTCGTGCAGGCATCGCAATGACACCAGTCTTAGTCTACCTCCATCTTTAATATGTTTACCTAGACACTCTAGTAGTTCTAGCATTAATTCATTATTATCATTTAAACCTAACAAACCGCTCATGAATGTGTACACCATTTCAGNTCTTGAAATTTGTCGGACTTGGACCTTAAAGGAGTTTCTAAACTTCATATTGTAGGACGTCAAAATAATTTCAACTTTTACCCCTCCTTTGACACACAGAAAACACAATGTTTGAGGAAAACTAGTTTCTTCTATTCGACCTTATCAATTCCTCTCTACAATATAAATAAGATTTTTATTCTTAATAAGAAAGTTTTTCATGTCCTCTCTGCATATTTGTACAAGTTCAGTTTACTGAAACTAAAAAACTAATCCTATCACCTACAAAATATCATACAAATTTTATAAAATGTACTTGATTAAGCTTATATTTCATTATAAAAGAACATGTAGGTAATTGTAGAAAACTAAGAAATGATGAATAAATAGACGTTTGATTTTTGTTGTGCTGGGGTTACTTGTATTACTAAAATTCTACAAGAGTCAAACTTTAAATTATCTACGATATTAATAACAATAGACCAGGATATTTATCACTACAGAATTGTCTAGTTTTTTCTTCACATTCAGCAGATATGTTATTATGATACAGGTCTAGCTTGGTGAGATTACTGGGTAAATGTTTCATGATGTGATCCACTCCACCATCAGTTATTTTATTCCAAGACAGGTTTAACTCGGTGAGATTACTGGGAAAGTCTTTCATGATGTGATGTACTCCATCATCAGTTATTTCATTAACCTGCAGGCTTAGCGTGGTTATTTTTGTTTTTGATAATTTTTCAAACAAGCACTTTACGTGTTCATCATTCAAATCACAAGACTCCAGCAAAAGTACAGTGATTGTGCAGTTTGGAACTATGAGAGATGACATCAATCTCTTTATCCCGGTAATGGTAATCCCTGAGTTAACAATGTGCAATTTGTGTGGTGGTGATGATATTGATGTAGCAGTGGATTCTACTAACATAGCGATTGCTGCACAGTCCATGTCGGTTACATCTTCTAATACAATCTCCCCATAACTATACCAGTATCTGTCATCACGATTTGTAGTCAGTTCTTGTTTTGTCAAGCTTTTGTCAAGACCAAACTCGTGCAGGCATCGCAATGACACCAGTCTTAGTCTACCTCCATCTTTAATATGTTTACCTAGACACTCTAGTAGTTCTAGCATTAATTCATTATTATCATTTAAACCTAACAAACCGCTCATGAATGTGTACACCATTTCAGTGCTTTTTTGTGCCGCCATTACGCCTTTCTTCACCAAATACCGAGCAACAAAAAACTCTTGAATGGTGAAGTGTGTGAAGCTATATTCCACACAGATTGTCTTTTGAAATGGCAAATTATTACTTGAAACAGGATAACAAAATATAAGATTGCTAGATTTTATGTACAATAATTCATTTTCTGATAATTTTAGATTTTCTAAGTCTTGTAAGGTAAAACTAAATCTATTTTGTTCAGCTAAATGTGCCGCTAGCTTTGAAAAATTATCGAGCGTTTTGTCAACAGCCAACGAAGCGGCTTTGTCATCTRRACTAAGTATTGCTTTGTTGTAATTCTTTTCTATACATTGAATTACTTGAAAATAMAACTCTGTAAGTGTGAGAGGACATGAATTATCGTGTTTTKYGATTTTCCACTCGATGAGCATACACATCAACAAACAACGGAAAGGGACGCGACCAAATGAAATGTAGTGCGCGCTTTCTTTAACCTTGCTAAGTGCCATGTATTTTACTTCTTCTGGTTTTGTACTGAAATAATTCTCAACAAATTCAATAACCTGTTGTTCTGAGAATCCTGTAATTTCGACATAGTGGTCAGGGTGCATTTCTTGGTCTAACGCGTTCGCTTCGGTCGGCCTGGAGGTAACCATGATGACAGCATCGKCCAAGATTTTTTTTCTGATTAGTTTGCTTAGAAGAGCTGCTACTGGCTTCTTGGTTAGTTTACTATCATTAGGAAATTGACTTTCAAAATCTCCGAGTATTTTGTTTCGGTCTTTATATTCGTCAAAGCCATCGAGAACAATCAATAATTGCTCTGGATGCTGAAGAATGTAGTCCATCACATTCTCGTCTATCATGGTTCCATCGTTCAATAAAGGGCAAAGGTTCAGCAGTTCTTCGAGGTTCAACGTTTGTTCGTTTGGTAAGTTGTTCAATTGTCTAAACGTTATGAGGTAAGTAAACTGAATGTCAGGGATCGTTATGGAATTGGTAGACAAATCACGAAGAAGTTTCTGCGAGAACAGTGTTTTCCCTACGCCTGGTTCACCTGAAAGTAATATTCTTTTGACGGTAGTGTCTTTTTTGTCTTCGTCAACAAAAATCTCACTACATTGCTTNAACAACAAAATCAATTTCAAATACCAAATCAGGCGCGTAGTGTCGACGTTTTGGCTAGTACGCACATGTCATGCAGGACCGCGAAACATATTTTGGATCTGAGGGTCTAACGACCACCGAAGGCGGGAGTATCAAGAGAGTCTGGACCTCCCCCAGGAAATTATGAAGTAATAACTCTTAGAAATGCGATTTCCAGCGTTTTGAGAAACATCGAGGGCATATAAAAGGGATCAATTTTATGTGAGTTTTTCAGTAATTTTTTTGAAAATTTTAATATTTCCTTGCCACTAGTACGCACGTGCGTATTATGCGTAAAGGACGCTACGCGCCTGTAAATTTTCAATTAAAAATAAGAGAGCAACAATAAAGTTGTAATGCTTTCTGTCATAATTCAACCAACTTTGGTTAATGTTTTAGTCCAATAAAAGAAAAAAGACATGAAATCCATGTTCAATTTTATTGAAGCTAAAAAATACCAAACTAGAAAAAATTATTATTCTACAAATATGTGCAATGTATTAAAATTAAGCTTACAATAAGATTTTTATTCAAGCTTTCTAAACACAATAGAAAAAATCTTAATAAGAAAGTTTTTCATGTCCTCTCTGCATATTTGTACAAGTTCAGTTTACTGAAACTAAAAAACTGATCCTATCACCTACAAAATATCATACAAATTTATAAAATGTACTTGATTAATAAGCTTATATTTCATTAGTATAAAAGAATATGTAGGGAATTGTAGAAAACTAAGAAATGACGAATAAATAGTTTGATTTTTGTTGTGTTTGGGTTACTTGTATCACTACAACTCTACAAGAGTCAAACATTGAATTATCTACGATATGTGTAACTCAAGACCAGGATATTTATCCCTACAGAATTGTATAGTTTTCTTTTTACATTCAGCAGATATGTTATTATGATACAGGTCTAGATAGGTGAGATTACTGGGTAAGTGTACCATGATGTCATCCACTCCACCATCAGTTATTTTATTCCAAGACAGGTTTAACTCGGTGAGATTACTGGGAAAGTCTTTGATGTGATGTACTCCATCATCAGTTATTTCATTAGCCTGCAGGCTTAGCGTGGTTATTTTTGTTTTTGATAATTTTTCAAACAAGCACTTAACGTGTTCATCATTCAAATCACAAGACTCCAGCAAAAGTACAGTGATTGTGCAGTTTTTAACTATGAGTGATGACATCAATCTCTTTATCCCGCTAGTGGTAATCCCTGAGTTAACAATGTACAATGTGTGTGGTGGTGATGATATTGATGTAGCAGTGGATTCTACTAACATAGCGATTGCTGCACAGTCCATGTCGGTTACACCAAGTAATACAATCCACCCATAACTATCCCAGTATCTGTCATCACGATTTGTAGTCAGTTCTTGTTTTGTCAAGCTTTTGTCAAGACCAAACTCGTGCAGGCATCGCAATGACACCAGTCTTAGTCTGTGTTCATCTTCAAAATGTTTACCTAGACACTCTAGTAGTTCTACCATTAATTCATTATTATCATTTAAACTTAACAAACCGCTCATGAATGCGTACACCATTTCAGTGCTATCTGGTGCCGCCATTACGCCTTTCTTCACCAAATACCGAGCAACAAAAAACTCTTGAATGGTCAAGTGTGTGAAGCTATATTCACAGATTGTCTTTTGAAATGGCAAATTATTACTTGGAACAGGATAACAAAATATAAGATTACTAGATTTTATGTACAATAATTCATTTTCTGATAATTTTAGATTTTCTAAATCTTGTAAGGTAAAACTAAATCTATTTTCTTGAGATAACTGTGCCGCTAACTTTGAAAAATTATCGAGCGTTTTGTCAACAACCAACGAAGCGACTTTGTCATCTAAACTAAGTATTGCTCTATTGTAATTCTTTTCAATGCATTGAATTACTTGAAAATACAACTCTGTAAGTGTGAGAGGACATGAATTATCGTGTTTTTTGATTTTCCACTCGATGAGCATACACATCAACAAACAACGGAAAGGGACGCGACCAAATGAAATGTAGTGCGCGCTTTCTTTAACCTTGCTAAGTGCCAAGTTTTTTACTTCTTCTGGTTTTGTACTGAAATATTTCTCAACAAATTCAATAACCTGTTGTTCTGAGAATCCTGAAATTTCCACATAGCGATCAAAGTGGATTTTTTGATTCAGCTTGTTCGGCCTGGAGGTAACCATGATGACAGCATCGTCCAAGATTTTTTTTCTGATTAGTTTGCTTAGAAGAGCTGCTACTGGCTTCTTGGTTTTACTATCATTAGGAAATTGACTTTCAAAATCTCCGAGTATGTTGTTTCGGTCTTTATATTCGTCAAAGCCATCGAGAACAATCAATAATTGCTCTGGATGCTGAAGAATGTAGTCCATCACATTCTCGTCTATCATGGTTCCATCGTTCAATAAAGGGCAAAGATTCAGCAGTTCTTCGAGGTTCAACGTTTTTTCGTTTGGTAAGTTGTTCAATTGTCTAAACGTTATGAGGTAAGTAAACTTGATTTCAAGGATCGATATGGAATTTGTAGCCAAATCTCGAAGAAGTTTCTGCGAGAACAGTGTTTTCCCTACGCCTGGTTCACCTGAAAGTAATATTCTCTTGACGGTAGTGTCTTTTTCGTCCTCGTCAACAAAAACCTCACTACATTGCTTCATTTCGGTAAGCGTCTTACGATCAGGGTGACATTCGTGAGGTCTTTGAATTTGTTCTGTCAAAAGTTCTGGGCATCTTTTTTCCCCATGGTGAACAATCAAGTTCGTAAAAATATCATCAGTTTTCATTGATTGTATTATTCCTTTGGGCTGTAGTTCACGTTCTGTTTGCTTTATTATGGTTTTCTTGAGTTTTTTGGAGTACAATTCAACCTCTGGGAAAAAAGGAAAACACAATTAAGAAAGTTAAGACGAAATAAGGAAACAGAACTATTCTTTGTCTTTGACCAGTTTATTATTTTCATTGCTACGGTTATGTCGGCTTCAAGTCAAGAAAGAAACTTGAATGAAGTCAAGTGTGCAACAACACAGCCAAGTGCAAATCAATTTGTAATATAATTTTTGGCAAGTACATACAAAATGATAAAGCTTCCTTAAATGAATTAGAAGAAATGCAGAACTATTTTTATAGTTTTTTCTTCTCTTAAAATTAACTACAACAATCGGAAGTGGGATTCCCAACCAAAGAGTCTTAGGTGTTGTCCAGAGTCTCTAAATGACATACATGGTATGAAGAAATTGATTTTCATCAAAATGGAAT